CATGGAGATTCCAAAGAAATCACAATAGCAACATCATCTGATCATGCACAATGGTCAACAATTCATGAGACTTGTTATGAATTGTTTGGTTAAGATTTGTGATCCAACACGTCTAAATGACTTGTGGTTGCGGATTATATTCATAGAAAATGATCATGAAGATCATGTATGAAGAAAATGGTCCTAATGGATCCTGCATAAAGTGACAATCTAGAAGATTTGTTCACTAAGAAGCTTATCATGAGAAGATTTGAAAGATTTGTTCACAACACTATACTTTGATGTTGTCATGAGGGGGAGCATATACGCACTGCACTCTTTTTTCCTTAACCATGGTTTTTCCCACTGGGTTTTCCTGGTAAGGTTTTTAAAGAGGCAGATTCAGATAGCGTATTATGATGATTATGTACTCTTTTTCCTTCACTAGGATTTTATCCCACAGGGTTTTTCCTAGTAAGGTTTTAACGAGGCATATTCATGTCTAATGGTCATCCAAGGGGGAGTGTTATGAAAATATTATTACTATTATGGATGACCAACATTAGATGCTCCATGGTATGTTACAAATTCTATGTAACTCATCTCCTTATATTTATTTCTCCATATGACACATTAGATGCACAATTGGGTGTTACATGTAACCCCCCACTCCACCCCATTTATATTTTACATTCATTCTCACATTCATGTATATTGATTGTAAGAATGTAGAGGTTATGTGTTGTGTGCCTATAAATAGATGATATCTTTGTACTAGGGAACATATGAATAAGAAAGCTCTATTCCCCCTCTCTTCTTGTGTCTCTACTCTTACTCTTGTGTATGTTCCTCTTCCTTGTTATTTCATAACACTGTGTTCTTTTTTTTTCTTCCACCAACGAATATCTTTGGTTATCGCAATCAGGGAAAGGCTACGGTGCTAACAAAAAAATTGTTAGCATGATGCTAACACCTACAACAGCCAATAGGAAGCTTTGTTTATGTAGACTTTTTATACTAACCTAGTTTACCAATTGTTTAAACGGAAAGGGCATTTTTGCCATTTTAAAATTGTTTGTTTCCTCTCTCACTCTTCGCAGAAAACACATCGCCGAGAGATGTTCCTCCTCTCTTCCTCTCTCATCAGCAACTGCGGCGGCGACTCTCCCTCCCTCCCCACTGTGGTGACTCGCTCTGACTATCACAATAAAATCCCACCTAAAGTCCAAGTATAAACCTTAGATGGGTGCAATACAGGGCAAGTATGTTTAAATATCGACCCGGGCCGGTCCAGGTACCGTTACTTCGACTGTTTGAAACATTATCTAGCGGATTGGTTTTAATGAAAACAAAAGTCTAAAACTAAATTGCTTTGCAAAGGTAAAATAGATTTAACACTAGTTGAGAAAGCTTCACCCGGGTGTTGCTCCCCCTATCTAACAATTATGAATTGAAGAATCGAACGACCGTGTGTGGTTAGATGGTAGCTTGGAGCAATCCGTTCAAATCCTCTTCCACCGCCATGCAATCTTGTTTCTAGGATTCACTGTGATGGATGCCTTTGAGTTATCCCCAGGAGGTGGCATATGGTTCAATCACTAGCCATGGATTTCGAGTTGATCGGACAAGTTGATTTCGCTCTTGTTGCATTCTAAGTGGTTGGTTGCAAGAGAGATTTCTGATTTACTGGTTTTTTCAAGGGTTCTGTTCTGTTGGATGGTTGTTGTCAAACTGTGTTGTGTTCTCTGTTCTTGCTTTTGCTTTTCATGGTTTGATTGTAACCGGGTTCCCTTTTCCTTCCTCCTGTTGAACCAGAATGTTGGTTGTTGTCTCTTTGTAACTGATCAGTTAAAATGCAATAAAGACTCTCCTTTGTCAAAAAAAAATCACCTCTATTGGACACCGCGCCCGCGGGTAATTTGTGTGGTAGGGAAAATATAAGAGGCTATTAATTTGCATCTAACCTCTCCCTTCTTTCTCTCTGTCTCTCTCTCTCTCCCCCTTCTCTGGATTAATTTAGTCTCCATCAGCAACCCCCTACTATCATCCTCTTCCAGTCCCTCCAAAGCACGAGAAATTATTGAGTACACCGGGTGTACCACGTCATTCTGCCTACTTGGTACTCCCATCCACTAATTGATTGACATCTGTCATATTTATTATTACTTTCAAAGATATTTATTTATAATACGTTTCTCTTTCCTCTTGTGCCTCTTTTTCAACTTTCATTCCGTCTCTCTCTTACCCCATTTTCTCTCTCTAATTTCTATATCCCAGTCCTGAGATTGATGCTTTTATGGATAGAAAGACACCATCGATTCCCAGCCATAATCACAACATATCTACGGCCGAAAAAGAAAAAAAATCTGGAATCTCAGAACCGGCCGCCCCAACCTTCTTGCCCAGTGATCTCAATTTTCACTGGAGAACGAGTAAATGACAAATCAAAGGGGGGGAAAAGTGCAGCAGCCTTACCCCATCTTCCTTTCCCAACTTGTTGTTTCTTCGTTCTCGTCGCCGGCCGTGAAGCCGGGAAAAACAAAAGTTTTGATTTGTTAGATTCGGAAATTGATTGATCTTCCCCAAATTCTGCCGTACAATTCAGTTGATTAATTATTGGTGGAATGGTTGTGGTTCTGAATCTCGCCTGGATCTAGAATTTAGTTGATTAATTAGTGTCCAGGGTTCGGTTAATTAATTCTGCTATGTAGTCTCTATTTTTCAATTCTGTTAACAAGCCACCATGTACTAGAGAAGTCCACTGTGCTTATCATACACTTCCACACTCTTTGAATTAACTTGATTATTTTCTTCAAGTTTTGTTCAAGACCTCCAATTGATGGAGAATTGGAGATGGGTTGTATGCAATTGCAAGGAAAGAGAAAGGGGAAAAAGGAAGAGAGAGTCAGAGAGCTATTCGCCTATTTCCATCAATGAAAGAGACTAAGAGATGGGCATTATTAATTTCGGTAAACCATTAAAAAGAAGAAAGAGAAGCTCACAGATAAAAATGGTATAAAATAAATAATAATGACAGATGGCAAACAATAAGTGGTTCGGAGTACCAAGTAGGCAGTATGACGTGGTACACCGGGTGTACTCAATAATTTCTCCCAAAGCACCACTCCAACCCCAAGACTGTTTTATGCCTATTCAGCCCACAGGTAATCTCTGACCACTATCAGACTCTTCCGGTCCCGTCAAAGTCACTGTCAGTCTGTTCATCCCTTTTTCTATCCAAGGGAACCCTCTCAAAAGGCAATTCAGCTCACCTCTAACCGGCTGCGCAAAAGTCCTTGAAAGGAAAGGAAGATGTCACCTCATCGGGGAAAGGACAAACAGAGGCTCCCCAAAGTTGTAGTGCGACCAACGCATGCTTGGGACAAATCAAAGAAGGCCAACTAGAAGGTAACCTATTAACCAAACCACCAAGTTCGGTCAGGATCCAACCAGAAGCCCCCTCCACCTCCCCACACTTGATCCGCAACCGAGTTGAAACAATACACATGAGTCTTGATGGACCGCAAAAGCACTCTTGATGCACAGTAATCGGATTCTTCTTTCAATATACAGGGAAGGAAGAGTTGTCGCAACCGCCCCTTCGAATCGGGGGTACCGCTCGCGATTGCTCGGAGTCGCCATCGAACGCGCTTTGGGGTGGGTCGAACACCCATTTCCGGTTTTGTTATTTAGGTTAAAACCAGAAATCTGGTCTGCGAATTTTAGGTTTATGGGTTAGGGAGTACGATTACGTGTGGGGAAGTGTATTCACGCCCCCACAACGCCCCAAATGGGTACTACTTGGATCGATAAGCTTATTAAATATTGGGTGTATTATTATTTGTGGCTTTATTAATGTATTTAAGTTTATTATTTGATTAATTAGATAGTTATTAATATTTGATCATACGTCTATTGACGTAATCTCGAAAGGTAAAGAAAGAGTTTTATAATTAGTTGGACTCGAACCTATTGGTTGCCTACGTACCCGAGTAGTCGGGATCAAAGTCCACGTAGTTCGCTCCGAGTTAATCATTTTTTGAAAGAGGAAGTCCACCACGTTCTATTAGAGGTGGCAATTAGGATCCAAATCCATGAATCCAATCCAATCCATCCACCAAATTATCCACCTAATCCAATCCATTTAAATCCAATCCATTTGATCCAAATCCAATTGGATTGGTGGATTCATGGATCAATCCATGGATCCAAATGGAAAATTACGATTTGGTACCTATATTTTTTATATTTTACATTTTGATACCTAAAATTTATATTTTTATACAAAAAATATCATTGGAAAATTACATTTTGGTACCTAAAATTTTTCATTATGACATTTTAGTACCAAAACTTTTCAAATTTTACATTTTGGTCCAAGCATTGGATGTCATTTGGATTCACGGATCAATCCACCAATCCATTTGATCCAATCCATGAATCCACCAATCCATTGGATCCAATCCATTTGATCCATGAATCCACCAATCCAATCCATGAATCCACGAATCCGATCCAATTGCCACCTCTACGTTCTATTGATCGTGTATAAACTTTGAGACGGAGTGTTTTAGAAAAATATTTTACGATCTTTTAACTTAATTTAGTTGGGTGATTGACGAATGTGATAAATTTTGCTCATAAATGGTCAATTACGGTCTATTGAAATTAATGAATTTTTTAATGAAATTATCTAAGTGGGTAATAGAGAAGAAATGAGGTTTAATAATTCAAAGGGACTAAACACTAGAAACTTTAAACGTATTAAGAAAGATTATAGTAAAGTTGAAGGAAATATTTTATTATATTAAATTTGTATAGGATTGACGTGTTAACCAAAAAATGATGGATTAGTATTGACAAATGACAAGAATGGGAGGTAGTCTAAACTGTTGAATGTATAGACTTGTGACTGCAGCGGGCAATTTATAAAAATTAGAGGAGTAATTTAGCAATTTTCCGGCATTTGGGTATAAAAATCACCTTAAGGCTTAAGAACAAATACAAACCCTTGTCGATAACCCTTTCCTCATTCTCCGTCTCTCTTTTCTGTTCCAACAAATGACGGAGATCGACGGCGGCAAAGCCAAACCGCCGCTGCTCCTCCATCCTCCGCTCCCTTCTTCCTCTGTCTCCTTTGTTTCGATCTGCCATCTCCCTCTCTCTTCCTTTGTGGTAACGACGAGAAGGAGAGAAGAAACGAAGACGGCGAAGGCGATGGCAGGGGCTCTGAATCAGTGGTGATCTCTTAGGCAAAAGGTGAGATCAATTGCATGCGGGTTTCTTCTAATTTTCTGATTCGAAAATGGGGTTCTTATCCTTTTGTGCTATTCGTTTGTAGGTAATATTTTTATGGTTTAGGGTCTGATCGGTGAGGGAAAGTAGATAGAGGTCGCCGGCGATGGAGATGAAGTCGCTTCTGCCGGCGACGAGAAAGGAGCAAAGTTCCGACGAGAGGTTTCAGGTGGGTTTTCTGCCTTTGGTTTTGACTCGTTTTTTTTATATATTTTTCCTTTGATGGATTTTGGGTTTTCGATTATGGATGTGAAAGGAAGAAGAGGGTCGCCGCCGGCAGCTCTGTGTTGTGCCGACGACGACTGTCACGGCAGAGAGGTAAGATCCGATTTTATATTTTGGGGTTTATGTGGAATTTTCAAATCTGATTGTGGTTTGTTTTTTCGGGATTTGAAAACTTAAAATGATCGTTCTAAAAAACGATAGCCATCTAAGGTCACTGCTATTGCCTGCAACCCTTGGGGGCTTTGTGTCGTTTTCTTAAGGTTGATTGAATGCTTGAACTTTGAGATGGATTGGGCTGTGATGGGCTTGTTACTTGAAGCTTGGGGATGTTGCTCCTTCTTTCCCTTTGAACGTTAGTAGAGCTGCTGCCCTCTTTCTCCGCTTGTTTATTGTTGTGGCTACGAAGAAGAGTGGCAGGTTTGTTGTCTGTGTGTTCCTTGCTCTTTTTTTGTTTGGAATTTTGAGGAGGAGGAGGAGGAAGGAGCCGAAGAAGGAGAAGAAGAAGCCAAGAGTCCCTTTTTTTTTCGTTCTACTATTTGAGTTGTGAGAAGGAAGAAGAAGAGGGGTTGTCTCTATGTTTTTCAGCTCAGTTTAGGAAGGCTGCCCCCTTTTTAGCAGCAGCCCAAGGTGTTATTTTATAGGAAAATATCAGCTTGGGGAGCAAGCTTGCTATAGTACCGGTTTTGGTTTTTGGGTTTAACCGGTCTGGTTGGATAAGAGTTTGACCGGATTGAGTTTGTTGACTTGTGTGAGCAAAGGTTGACTTCGACTTTATTTTATTTTTGTATTTTGTTTGTATTTAATGTAAATGTTATTTAGCAATTATTATGGAATAGCATTGTGATTGTAGTTTTTATTTATGTTTGATTTCATTCGAATTTAGTTTAATAATATGCTTATTTATCTTTTCTTATTTACTTACTTTTATTGCTTCAAAATTGAGGTTTAATCCTCACCAGGTCCAAAGTCTTAAGAACTAATCTAAAGATCAACTCACACAACTGTTATATCGCCTAATTCGTCAAACCAAAGCAAAATATGTTAACTCTCGCTATCAAATCATATCGATCGAGATTTGCTATTGCTTAATCTTATCGAATTGTGACTAATATAACCAATCTCAATCACTAAAATATGTTTTAGCAAGGAGTTCATTTTAGATTTGCTATTGCAAATTTTAAACAAAAATATGTTTTGACCCGGACAAAATGTGGTGTCTACAGTTGCCCCCCTTTGTATATCTCTATGTATTTAAGAGGTATACAAAGTTATCATAGCACACCATTTTTGGTCGGTTTACTAATTTTATTGCGATATTTTTGTTTGGTGCATTAACCAACTTCTTTGAAGTTTTGAAGTCATTGATTAGCTCCCATATGGCATAGTCATGTAGTGGGTCCTAATTAGTTCCCCGGCAGTGTAGCCTAGATGTAGGTACCAATTAGATTCCCTCGCAGTGTAGTCGTGTCATGGGTACTAACTAGCTCCCTAGTAGCGTAGGCGAGATGTAGGTGCCAATTAGTTTCTCACGTAGTGTAGCCATCCTTCGCAGTGTAGTCTTCTAGTGGGTCCTCATTAGCTCCCTCGCAGTGAAGCCGACCTGTGGGTTCTATTTGGTATCCATCGCAGTGTAGACTTCTTACGGGTCCCGATTGGTTTCCCTTGCAGTGTAGCCTTCTTATGGGTCCTGATTAGTTCCCTCGCAGTGTAGCCTTCTTATGGGTACTAATTGGTTTCCGTCGCAATGTGGCTTTCTTCGCAGTGTAGCCTTCTAGTGGGTTCCGATTAACTCCCTGGAAGTGTAGCCTTCTTGTGGGTGTTAATTGATTTCCCTCGCAATGTAGCTTTCTTCGCAGTGTAGCCTTCTAGAAGGTCCTGGTTAGCTCCCTCGCAGTGTAGCCGACTTGTGGGTTCTAATTGGTTTCCGTCGCAATGTAGCTTTCTTCGCAGTGTAGCCTTCTAATGGGTTCTGATTAACTCCCTGGCAGTGTAGCCTTCTTGTGGGTGTTAATTGATTTCCTTCGCAATGTAGATTTCTTCGCAGTGTAGCCTTCTAGTAGGTCCTGATTAGCTCCCTCGCAGTGTAGCCGACTTGTGGGTTCTAATTGGTTCCCCTCGCAGTGTAGCCTTCTTCGCAGTGTAGCCTTCTAATGGGTTCTGATTAACTCCCTGGCAGTGTAGCCTTCTTGTGGGTGTTAATTGATTTCCCTCGCAATGTAGATTTCTTCGCAGTGTAGCCTTCTAGTAGGTCCTGATTAGCTCCCTCGCAGTGTAGCCTTCTTCGCAGTGTAGCCTTCTAATGGGTTCTGATTAACTCCCTGGCAGTGTAGCCTTCTCGTGGGTGTTAATTGATTTCCCTCGCAATGTAGATTTCTTCGCAGTGTAGCCTTCTAGTAGGTCCTGATTAGCTCCCTCGCAGTGTAGCCGACTTGTGGGTTCTAATTGGTTCCCCTCGTTCCCATGGTGGTATAGCTTAAACGGGGTTTTGTTCGTGGCAATATAGCCTGATTTGAATTTTTTCGTGGCGGTATAGCCTGTTTGATCATGTGTATCATGGTGGTAAAATTCACGAGGATATGTGAAAGTTTAACTTGATCACGAGTGGTTGAAACAAGCAATTGGTAAAGTCTTAGGTAGATCTTAGGTATGTGCCAAACTTGATATTGGTAAAGATTTGAATTTGACTTCACCATGATGTGCAATGCAAGGTATTTTGTCATATGATATAATGCAATGTTGTGATGAGATATGTTGGAAGGGTACATCTACTTTAAATGAATTTGAGAATGAATGATATTTAATTTGGCTATGAATTTTTGAGATGATGCCATATGATGAGTTTGAAGTGCATCGAGAATGATGCCATTCGATGCGTGTGAAGTGCATTCGAAAAAGGTTGTATGATGAGTTATAGGATGATGTCTCAAGGGTATGCAAAAGAAAGAGTATAATCCCTCAACATGGTCTTGATGTTTTTTTCATGGATTCTCTTAAATCGATCATCTACAAGGAAAATATGTCATTCCCTTTTAGTAAACTTGATCCTTGGTCGTGCTCGCGATGGGGTAGCATATACTGTCGACATGGGTGCTTTCTTCCGTTGGTGTGTGTCACTATCTCGAGGTACTGGGCTTGCCATCTAGTTTATCCTCTTTTATATACTCAGTGAGCACAAGGTATGGCATTTCTGGAACTTGGTGAAAGGTTGGTCCTCTACTTTGTCCACCTCGGACACTAGTGCTTGAGTGGCTGATGTGTTAGCCATATGATTTTCTTATTCATGAGATGCTCTTGGTAGGTTGATGTTGCAGGAGGTTTTTTTGTAGCATGGTGGCCTCGATATAAAGTGATCTTTTAGTTTGATCTTCTTGATATGCGAGCATTTCGTGGAAGAGGAATTTGTCATTTCGGGGTATTGTCTTGTTGATGTCGGTTTTCTAGACATGCTTGATTGCCTCCTCCCGGAGGTGTGAGATAGAAAATACTTCGTCGAAGGATAGTTTGCTTGACCCCTTGGCCCAATAAAATAGGGGTATCTTGGCATCTCTTCATGAAGTGGTGGGAAACATGAGTAGTTGGACTTGTGAGGTTTTGAGGTTCTTCATCCTATAGGTTGTATCTTGTTATTTGGGCACTTCTATCTTCAGGTATGTCCTGTTGGTGCCAGCTCTGGGTTGCTTGTTGCTCAAGTTACGGTTCTACGCTTCTTCTCTTGAGTAATCATGGTATATAGGTAGTCATGAGTCCCTTTTATCCAAGCCGTTTTAAGGATGATTTGACTGACTAGTAGGATAGCTTGAACGGAGTGATTCAATATCTCTAAGGTTTCTTGTTTGCTCATGATTTGGAGAGTTAGGAAACCCACTTTCTGAGTGTTTGAACTTCTTTCTTTGCTGTGTTGCACCAATTTGCCCCCGAGAAGATGTTACTTGCTTCCCACTCTTTAAAACAAAGTGTAACTTTTGCCAATCTTGACTTAAGATGAATGCAAACAATGTTTGTAAAATCTTGTTTCAGAAAGCGTAATGGGAACATAATTTTAGAAATCAAAGCCTTGCTTTAGAGACGTGTGTGCAATTTGAGAAAAATTAGTTCTTGTGTGGTTATTGCCACGTTGTTTAAAAACCTTTTTTATAAGCCAAGCCATGAGAATATCTATAAGCCCGCGCTTTCAGTCTCACTTTTACGGTCAATTTCACTCTCACTCATTCCTATGGGTGCTTCGAGTATACCACAGTTCGGCTACTATCAAGATTCTGGTCATCAGTTTGATGGATAAATGCGCTTGAGGAATAGGTTTGATGATCATGGAGAGTTCGAGCGATCTTTGTATGGTCTTGTTGTGGGATTTCTTGAATTTTCCAAAAACAAGGCTCTTTTTCTATATGGGTTCCAATCGTAAGAGTTCTCGTGTTTTGAGAAGTTTACTTTCCCCAAATGAGAGGCGGGTAAAGGAAATTTATATGGAATTTGACTTTAGTCATGTGAAACTTCGTGTTGAGGGATATTTGGCTTGTCCCCAAGGTATGAGACGGCTTGATGGAAATATGAGATCATCCCTTCTTGTCGTAAAAGGTTTCTTGTGGAGGGATATTTGGCTTGCCCCCAAAGTACGAGATCGACTGATGGATTGAGGAGATCTTTTTCGAGGAAGTTTCATTTTCATCGAGAATGGTGGCTCATCTCGGGCATCTTTGTGGATATATATTTGGCTCAAGTTGCCCCCTTGTCTTGAAACTTGGTTCGGAGAGGTGGGGTTGAGTAATCAGTATCCAAGATCATTTGAGTAGAAAATTCGATTATGAAAATATTCTCACTTGTTGAGATCCATGTTTGACCTCAAAAGGATGGGTAAGGAGATATGGGTATGACGCAAACTTTGACTTCTCATCGGATCTCGAAAGGATGAATGCTGAAAACCCTTGTACGATGTAGTGATGGTCGTCAAAGTCTTCTATCATGGGGATTCTTGTTTGACTTGAATGCGAGACTTCAAGTGATTGATAATGAGGATGATCATGGGGCTGGATTTTAGATCAAGCAAACCTTCTTGTCTTGGGATCCCCATTTTATTCGAGTTTACTTACATCATTTCCTCAGGCTTGGCAGACGAATACCCTTCTTTTGAAGATGTGATTAATTTGATACTAGCCTCGCATTAGTGTTCAGATCAGGTTGATCGAGAGAATGACTCTACATTGCTCTTGTGACCACTTTGACGGCAGACTCGAAATCATCCTTTTGGCCTTTTAGAAAGGTAGTCAATAACCTTTATTTGTGACTTGCTTGAGAATTATGACTTCAAGTGCTCATGCATGGGTATC